TACACACACACACACACACACACACACACCACATCTTCTTTATCCATTCATCCGTCGATAGACATTTAGGCTCTTTCCATACTTTGGCTATTGTTGATAGTGCTGCTGTAAACATTGGGATGCGTGTGTCCCTTCGAAACAGCACACCCGTATTCCATGGATAAATGCCTAGTAGTGCGGTTGCTGGGTCGTAGCGTAGTTCTCTTTTTAGTTTTTTGAGGAACCTCCATGCTGTTTTCCAGAGTGGCTGCACCAGCTTGCATTCCCATCTCTGCTTTTCTTTATAACAGAACTCCTCGAAAGGGCTCTCTAGACTCGCCGTCTCCGGTTTCCCTCCCTTGCTTTTTCTTGGTTGGGCTTCGGTCCCCGACACCTGCCGACACCGTCCTGTCATCCGTGAGCTCTGTGTTGCATGCGTGCCTGACTCTGCTCTACTTCCTGGCGGGCGTCACTATTCGGTTTCGTGTCACAGGTTTCTTTGGTGACTAGTTTCTTGCCACCATGTTTTTTTTTTTTTTTTAATGTTTATTTTTGAGAGAGAGAGAGAGACAGAGCACAAGCAGGGGACAGGCAGAGAGAGACAAGGAAACACAGAAACTGAAGCAGGCTTCAGGCTCTGAGCTGTCAGCACAAAGCTTGACGCGGGGCTCAAACTCACGAACCGTGACATCATGACCTGAGCTGAAGTCGGACACTCAACCGACTGAGCCACCCAGGTGCCCCTTTTGCCAGCATATCTGTGAGGCTCATGAGGGCATGGGGCGCCTGGGTGGCTTAGTCTTTTAAGTATCCAACTCTTGGTTTCGGCTCAGGTCATGATCTCAGGGTTTGTGAGTTTGAGCCCCGTGTCGGGCTCTGCACTGACCGTGTGGGGCTTGCTTGGGATTCTCTCCCTCTCCCTCTCTCTCTCTGCTCCTCCTGCACGCTCTCTCTCTCTCTTTGAAAACAAATAAATAAAACCTAAAAAAAAAAAACAACAACCAGTGTCTGGCCCCTAGGAGGGGCTCTGTAAATATTTTTTGCCTGGATGCTTGCACAGACAAAGCCAGCAGTCACGGTGAGCAGAGGGCCCCCTCCAGGTCTGCATGAGGCAGAGTGGGGGGCAAAGCAGGTAGACTGGAGTGCTGTGCCGAGCACCCCTTAAGGCTCTGCCAGTGGCCACACAGCAGCTCCCCGGTGCTTTGCCCACTCCAGGGTCTCTGGACAACACCTCACCCATCACCAGCAAGCCCGAGGCCTTCTTCTCGAAGCTGCAGGATTTCCGGGAAGCCAACAAGGAGGAGTGTATTCACAGTGACCCCGAGTGAGCAGGGCTGGCCGAGGGGGTGGGCAGGGCGGCTCAGGGACCCCGTCGCCTGGCCTGCTCACCCCTGTCACTTCACAGACCCCGGTCCCTCAGCCTCCGGGAGAGCAGCAGGGTGGACCAAGACCAC